ATGTGACCGTGGGCGAATAAATAAATTTTGGCTCATGTTCTGCAGTCTGCAAAAATTCTTTTCGTCAACTTAAGGTCCATGCCTGCTTAATAGGTTATATTATTTGCAGCTTACGAATTATATGACTCGTTATGTATTTCATATTATTAATATTGATTATTGGACAAGTTTGTAACGATGCAGTGAATCCAGTAGATCTCAGCTCTTGTATAGTGGAGGGCATCGTTCGTTCGTTCGTTCGTCGTCTTTCATGTCGTGCCAAGCCATTTAAAAAATATATATGAAAATCCAATAAAGAATTTCCACTTGTATATTTGTCATTTGTGTTTTCTTCTAACAATTTTCATTTTTATATCCAAAATGAGATCATCGACCCTCACACTAACCGGGAATTCAATTCCAATCGAGTCAAGGCAAGAACATCAATCAAAGCCATTTATCCATGTTTTAACACGAAGAGAGAGAGAGACTCGGGTTTGAGTGTATAATTTAGTATTTCCAATGATGCCAATTCCCACATATGAAAATTTTAAGATGAAATCGAAAATGGATCCGATGTTTCATTTGCAAATTTACATTTGCATTTTTTCAAAGTCTCAATTTTTCCAACTGGAGTTCAGAAAGTCAGGCAGCAAAATTTCTTATGAAATATACAGATTCCGATTTTGCTTTCAAACGTAACTGTTTTGGAGAATTATCTTATTTTCTCCCACAAGAGGGTGGAAACAGAGAGATATGTACCTCAAGAACCGAACAATGAGGACCTTCTGGTCCCTATCCATATAAGATCGAAAACTGTCACAAGATGTAAACGTCGAATGGAAAAGCTACCTCATAATTTTGTATAACTATTTCATCTTCCCAGCAGATAAAAAATGCAAATGTGTTTCAGTTTTGTTTACCACTGCAACAGCTGAAATTTTGCAAGAAAAAGAGAGAAAAGAGAGAAAAAGAGAAGGGAAAGATCAGTTCACTTAGTGCAGCATCCAGTTTTTATTATGATATATCTGAGACAACAATCAAAAATAAATCGGGAAAAAAAGTGAACAAATCAGTATCTAACCCAACTTAAAAAAAATTAGTGATAGGATGATACAAGGGCACAGCAAAAATAAAAGAGAAGAAAATAAACCAGATAAACAAATATTACTTTAGAATACTGTAAAGGAATATGGAATACTTCTCATGACAACTAACACTCGCCGTCAATTTGGAAGGTGGATGTTGATTATTCAAGCTCACTATTCAAATCTTCAAACATCTCCCTAAGTATAGTACCCAATTGCAGACCTTTTTTCTCTTGCAGAGCCAACCCAATCATTCGTGTACACATCAACAGTTCTCTCATTTCCCTTCTTAAAGAATATGAACTTACTGCGGTATCGTCATGAGATATCTTAGAATTCTCCACACATTCTTCAACAAGTCTATTCATTTATTGGCTAACGATACAAATAGGAAAGCAAATGTCAGTTCTAATATGGAACAAATCAATGAGTTTTCCAACTAGCGTTTAAAATCTTAGTATCAACTAGAGGATTACCCTTCTTGAAACACAGCTTGCAGGTAGTTCCTATTGTGTTTCTCCTAGCTTACCTCCAAGTCACCAATGGAAAAGGAATTGTTTGCATTAAATTGGTGCAATGGCCATTTATGGTTAGCCTCTAAAGGAAGAACTTTGACAGTATTAAATTTGGCTGCAATACGTAAAAGTATGTAGAAAATCGAATCCTTTGAGTTAAGGGAAATCCTTAGTATGGCCTCATGGTGGTTTATGATTCATGTTTCAATTTGTGTTGTACTTTATAGTGAGAATCTACTTACGACGACCTATTAGTAGTGAAAAACTTAGTAACCCAATTGGGGTCCTTTTTTCAGTTTACTAATTGAAAACAGATTGCAAGTTACCCTAAAAAAAACAAAATATTTCTTAAAATTAAAGTATCTGACATTGAACTGTACCCATAACCAAACCCTTTGGAAGGTGCTCACTCAGCCGGTTTTACTGTCAACTTATAATACATGAAGTGAACATTTCAAGGCAAGAGGATTTACTAGTCATATGATCAAAGGCACCAAATCAACCACCCAAGTATTGTTGTTCCGGACTTTGGTGTTTAAGGCTAGTGATGGGTTACCTGTGCAGGAGCAACAAGAACAACACCAATGTCATTTCCTGATGTTTGCTAGAGTTGGTTCCCAGTCATTCTGTGCAACATCACAAAGTGCTACTTGCTGAGTAATTTGATTAAGGCCAAGGCTTTTCTTCCAATTTCACCATGAATCCATCTCCATTAATTTTGTTTCAACAACTTGACCCTTTATGTTTGCTGGTTGCCCATGAAGTTTCCAGTATACTTCTGCTGTGTGACAATGTTCACACCATGGTCTCTCAGATTTTCTTCAATTTGTAGTCATCAGAACGAGCACCTTCTGCTACCAATGTTGATGATTCAGGGGCAGCATAAGCAGTAGAAGTATTGGGTGTGGGTCTCTTCTACTTTCTTCCCTTTTAACAACAACGAAAAATACCTCTTCAAGAGTAGGTAACGGATCCAGACTCATGATGTGATTTCTTATTGCTTCAAAGATGGGGTTGAGGCCAATCAAGAATTTATACACTCTCTTTTCTTCGTTGAGTGTGTTGTAATATTGCGCATCAGTTTCACAGTACCATTGATGAATCTCGTAAAGATCCCATTTTTGCCATTGTCTTAGTAGTACATTATAATATTGGGTTACATCTAGGTTGCCTTGCCTGAAATCATGGAGAAAACACTCAATGCCAAATAGAATTGCTTTATTATTAACTGAGGAACAAGATGCCTTTTCTATTGGTGCATGCACCATGAGCATTTTAGACAGCAAGAAATTCTTCCCAATCTCTATTGTCATTGAATTGATCAACCAAGATAGTGCCAAGCTGGTTTCAGCCTCGCAGGTAGCATATTTAGCATCATCAACACTAGACAGAGCAGCAGATCTAGTAAGCTTATTTGCCTTGCCTCTGGCACTAGCAGACCATATCAGGCTTGATGACCACTGGAGGTAGTTACGGCCATTTATGTAGTATGGTGTGATAAGAACCAGAGCTGGTTTTTTGGATGTTGGAAGGGGCTCTTGGCAGAAGGTGTGCTGCATAGTGGCAGATGAGGTTCCAGTCATGGAATTCTGACTCTCAAGGCCTTCAACAATCAGCCATGACCAAATTGAATCATGGTTGGATCAGAATTTGCTCTGATACCATGAAGAAAGCGAAAAAAATATAAGTAGAGATGGAGGAAAGAACAGAGCACTAGCACTGCATCTGGTTCTTATTATGATATAATCTGAGAATAGAATCGAAAAATAAGGAAATCTCTAGTCCCATTAAATCAGCAACTAAAAAAATAGAAGATAGGATAGTGTAAATTAAATATTTTCAATTACAAACCAGATAATATTTGAAGGCCGGATCTTTTCTAAAAAATTTCCTCAAGCTTGTCTAAAATACATAATTTTACATGTGGCTGGAACTAACATAAAGGGAAAAAATATGCAACGTGAAATGGATATTCTTTACATCATCAAACCATAAATTCAATATTTACATGAATGGAAGATTTTCATTCAAGGGCGATAGCATGCTGCGTCAACGTCAATGCCCACTATTGACTTATCAGAGAAGAAAGGGGATGAAGTTAGAGTCAGTTTTGCAGAATTAAGTTGCTTTTTTTAATTAATTCATTTTCAGTTTAGTTGGCTAAATAAGTGGATCAACTTTTGATCATGTTTAGTTTGTTTAAGTCAATTTTTGTTTGAGTCAGTTATTGTCCCAGATATGTGGGATATTTTTTTATTATTTATTTATTATTTTGCCGTAATTCCTGCATTATAAATGGACTAGCTTCTATCATAGCTAGACATTCAGAAAATAAAATACGATTTCTCTTGGAGATTTTCCTACTCTGGCTATTAAATATTTTTAGGGTGAGATTCTTGCTCTAATTTATTTAATAGCTTTATTTGCTTTCCTTAGTTCTTAACAATTTGGTATCCAAGCCACGTTCGATCAACATGGTGACCACATGCTCCAGTAAAAAAACCATCGATCCCAACACCACTTCCTCCAATAACCCCCCCACGCAATGAATCTGTAGTCAATCCATTTTCAGAAGACCCATTATCAGCAATCGCTTCTAAATTAGAGACACTTGATTTGTTGAAAGAGAAGATAGTGGCCCTTGAGGCTTCTGCAACGAGTAGAGGCAAGCGAACCATGGAGAGTCACTATAGGCGCTCACACTGGGAAGATGATAGTGAAGATGACTATGACCAAAGGGGCCCACATCCACCCTATACAAAAATTGAATTTCTAAATTTAGTGGAGGAGATCCCTGAGGATGGATTTTGAAGGCTGAAAATTTTTTTCGGTATTATCAAACACCGAAAGATTTGAAAGTTGATGTTGCTTCAATGAGTCTAGAAAGAGATGCGTTGGATTTATTCTCATGGGTAAATTTAGAACACACCTTGTTGTACTGGGATGAGCTGGTCAAGACATTACAAGAGCACTATGGGCCTCCTGAATATCAAAATCCGAATGAGCACCTTGCGACCATTAAGCAAACTAGATCGGTACAGGAATACCGTCAAGAATTTACTAGGCGGGTAGCACGAGTTCGCAACTGGCCAGAGCACTGCCTCTTAGGTATTTTTCTAGGTGGCCTTAAGGAAGAATTAACAGCTGATGCATGCATTCAGAAACCTAGAACAGTGTTTAAAGCTGCAAGTTTGGCCCTGGAATTTGAGAAAAAGGCTCAAAATTCACGTGGGCCCAGGCCCAATACCTCATACTCCCAAAATCGCTCAAATCAGTCCCAATTTGCACGTGATTTCCTGCAATTCCAGAGACTCCCTTTCATTGGCTTCGTCTGCGTATCCCTCCCGACCAGCTTCTTCGACCTCAATTACTCCTAACAACTCCTTAACAGCTGCAAGAATCTCTCCCGAAGATGCGGAACATCAAAACCACTGAGATAAGGGTCTGTGCTTCTAGTGTGGGGCTATTTTTCGACCTGGGCATCGCTACAATGCTTCTTTTTCTTTGCTGGAATTTCTGAAGAAGGTGAAGAAATTCTACCTCCCCTACACGAGGGAGCTGAGATAGAAATGGAGCCAGAGGGGGCTGAAATCTCATTTAATGCGATTCTAGGACAGCATTCGGCAGCCACAATGAAACTTCAAGGCACGCTCAAGGGTTGCACTGTCCTGATTTTAGTTGATAGCGACTCCACGCATAATTTCATCTCAGACGCAGTGGTATCCGAATTGCAGCTCCCTGTGCGGACGATTCCAACTTTTGGAGTTCAAATTGGTAATGGTAGTAGAGTGAAATGCCATCAGGTTTGCCCAAAGGTTAAGGTAACAATTTCTGATTTAACTATTCAGCAAGATTTTCTCCCTTCTCCTTGGGTGGTTCTGATTTGGTACTGGGTATTAAATGGTTGGCGTCACTGAACACTGTGCAAGCTAACTGGAACAAAATGTTTATGATTTTTTTAGCTAAATGGGAAGAAATATAAGCTGCAAGGCCTACCTACTAACAATGATGTTTCTGTCCATCTCCATAGCATGCTTCTTACTCAGGAATCAAATGAGAAGGATGCATCAGGACACTTGAATACTGACAGAATTTTTCATGATTTTGCTGATATTTTTTCTAAGCCAGGGTGCCTGCCACCACCTCGAGATCATTACCATGCCATCAAGCTATTCCCAAATGCTACACCTCCTAATCTACGGCCATATCGTTACCCTCATTACCAGAAGGATGAGATTGAAGCTCAAATTGAGAGCTTGCTACAATATGGATTGATACGACCTAGCACTAATCCTTTTGCCAGTCCTTTGCTACTCATTGGTAAAAAGGATGGTTTGTGGCTCCTCTGCATTGACTACAGGCGTCTTAATCAAATCACCATACCAGATAAGTACCCTATTCCCAATATTGATGAACTCTTAGATGAGTTGCATGGGGCTGGCTACTTTTCAAAAATTGATTTACAATTTGGATATCATCAAATTTGAGTTCTACCAAAGAATGTACACAAAACAGCTTTTCGCACTCACTCAGGCCACTATGAAATTTTAGTTATGCCATTTGGTTTAACTAACGCACCAGCTACCTTTCAATCTATTATGAATGACTTATTTAGGCCTTATTTACAAAAATTCGTGTTGGTATTTTTTGATGACATCTTAGTGTACAGCGCTTCGCCCCAACAGCATTTATAGCATCTAACCGCAGTATTTCAGATTTTACAAAAGCAATCCTTCTTTGCCAATGCAAAAAAATGCTCGTTAGGCTAGACTCAAATTAACTACTTGGGCCATATGGTTTCTGCCCAAGGGGTTGAAGTGGATTCTGAGAAAATAAATGCAGTAGTGCAATGGCCCGCTCCCAAATCTGTAAAAGAGCTCCATGGGTTCCTAGGGCTCACTGGTTATTACAGGCGTTTTGTCAAAAACTATGGTATTATCGCTAGACCCTTGATTGAACTAACCAAGAAAAATTCTTTTTATTGGTCTGAACAGGCACAAAAAGCTTTTGAGGCATTAAAATTAGTAATGACCACCACACCAGTGTTGCAACTACCAAACTTTCATCTTCCTTTCACCATTCAGTGTGATGCTTCAATGGAGGGTATTGGTGCTATCCTCGTTCAAGAAGGACATCTAATATCTTATTTCAACAAGGGATTCTCTTTTTCCAACAGGTATAAGTCACATATGATAGGGAGCTGTTGGCTCTAGTGCTTGCAATTCAAAAATGGCGCTACTACCTACTTGGTCATCATTTCTATGTCCAAACTTATCACTGCAGCCTTAAGTACCTCTTGGAACAACACACCCTCACCAATTCCCAGCAGCGAATGATGCTCAAGCTTCTTCCTTTCAATTTTACCATCATATACAAAGCAGGAAAGGACAATACAGCAGCTGATTCACTATCACGAAGGCCTCAACATGCTGATTTTTTCCAGATTGTCATCCCTTTAGCAGATGCCTTACAGCAACTCCCTACAGCATTAATGATAGGCCCTGAAACCAAAGCTATTGTGGATGCATTACAAACAAATCCACAATCTCACCCAGATCACAGCTTGGTGGAAGGCATATTATATTTCAAGGGATGACTTGTGGTTCCAAATGATGCTCAATTACGAGCTAAATTTTTGGAAGAAGCACATGTGACTCCAACAAGTGTCATGGAGGGTTCCTAAAGACCTTGAAGTGATTAGGATCAAGTGTGCATTGGCGAGGTATGAAAACAGATGTTAAACATTTTGTACAAAGATGTTTAATTTGTCAACAACATAAATATGAAACTCTTGCTCCTGCTAGACTCCTTAACCTACTCCCTATTCCGGAGTGAATTTGGGAGGACATATCTCTTGACTTTATCACAGGGCTCCCAAAGTTTAGGGGTTTTGATGTTATCTTGGTGGTGGTTGATCGGCTCAATAAATACAACCATTTCATTGCTTTGTCACATCCTTATTCTGTAAAAAATGTGGCTGGTTTATTTTGTCAAGAGATTGTACGGTTGTATGGTATTCTTGATCAATCATTTCAGATCGTGACACCATTTTTCTAAGTGCTTTTTGGCAAGAACTTTTTCGCTTGAGCCAGACACACTTAAACATGAGTACAGCTTATCACCCACAATCCAATGGCCAAATCGAGGTAGTAAATCGCTGTTTGGAGACCTATTTACAATGCTTTGCTCATAAGCAACCTAAATTATGGAGTGAATTTCTCTGTTGGGCTGAATTTTCATATAATACCAGCTTTCACTCCTTAGCAAACACTACTCCATTTAAATCAGTTTATGGGCGTGATCTTCCTCCTTTGTGCCCTTATGTTAAGGGAGAAACATTAGTTGCAGATTTAGAGGAGCAACTGGAGCTACGTGACACCATGCTCAAAGTACTACGTGATAACTTAAAGAAAGCACAAGATAGGATGAAAGCACAAGCAGATCAGCATAGGCGGGACCTTCAATTTCAACCAGGGGATGCAGTTTTTCTACGTCTTCAACCTTATTGCCAAAAGTCCTTAGCTAGACGTAAAAATGAAAAATTGTCCCCCTGATTTTTTGGACCTTATACAGTTGTGAGCAACCTAAATTATGGAGTAAATTTCTCTGTTAGGCTGAATTCTCATTTAATACCAGCTTTCACTCCTCAGCAAACACTACTCCATTTAAATTGGTTTATGGGCGTGATCCTCCTCCTTTGTGCCCTTATGTTAAGGGAGAAACATTAGTTGCAGATTTAGAGGAGCAACTGGAGCTACATGACGCCATGCTCAAAGTACTACATGATAACTTAAAGAAAGCACAAGATAGGATGAAAGCACAAGCAGATCAGCATATGCAGGACCTTCAATTTCAACCAGGGGATGCAGTTTTTCTACGTCTTCAACCTTATCGCCAAAAGTCCTCAGCTAGACGAAAGAATGAAAAATTGTCCCCCTAATTTTTTGGACCTTATACAGTTGTGAGGCGTATTGGAACAGTTGCTTATGAGCTTGACTTGCCTCTTGAGTCTAAGGTGCACCCTATTTTTCATGTCTCCCTACTTCAGCCTGCTCATGGGCAACAACCATCTTCACCACCAGCACCTTTACCTCTTTCTGCAAATCTGGAGCTCCTCCTCACTCCCTCAAAGGTACTGAATCAATACTGGACACTAGGAGGTATTCTGGAAATTTTAATTCAATGGGATAACCGTCCTCTTGAAGATGCAAGCTGGGAAGACTATGATTTAATAGCCATTCAATTTCCCACTTTTCGACTTGAGGACAAGTCTATTTTTCAGGAGGAGGTACTGATAGCATGCTGCGTCAACATCAATGTCCACCATTGACTTATCAGAGAAGAAAGGGGAGGAAGTTAGAGTTAGTTTTGCAGAATTAAGTTGCTTTTTATTTAATTAATTCATTTTCAGTTTAGTTGGCTAAATAAATGGATCAACTTTTGATCATGTTTAGTTTGTTTGAGTCAATTTCTGTTTGAGTCAGTTATTGTCCCAGATATGTTGGGATATTTTCTTATTATTTATTGATTATTTTGCTCAAATTCCGGCATTATAAATGGACTAGCTTCTATCATAGCTAGACATTCAGAAAATAAAATACGATTTCTCTTGGAGATTCTCCTACTCTGGCTATTAAATATTTTTAGAGTGAGATTCTTGCTCTAATTTATTTAATAAATTTATTTGCTTTCCTTAGTTCTTAACAAGGATCGGCATTGATGTAATTTTATTTACTCTAGCTTGAAAATGGACAAATGAGCATTGTGCCAAAAGGGAAATATTGGACTAGGAAAAAAAGTTAATTATTTGTCTCAGTCTGAAATGTTATAAGAATGATCAACAAAAGAAAAATAGAAAAGGAAAGGAAAGGGAAACCATAAAAGCGAAATAATAGAAGCAAAACTCGTCAATCAATGCAAAACAGAAAAATGATTGTCAATGATACCTCTGCGCAAGCTGAAAAACTGAGTATTCAATGCTCGAAAACTTTCACAAGCAGATGTAGCAAGTAATGGGAGGCTATTTTTCATTGCAAAAAGATCGGTGCCCTTAACTGATAAATGCTGTTGCCTAAAGCTAGAGAATTTCTCACTTGCTTCTCTAAGCAGTTCGGAGACATGAGGTGCAATTCCAGTCCAGCCATCTCCTGCAAAATGATTTTTTGAAAGAGGACTACTTGACCGTGCCAACTTCAATGCAGAGCCTCTTGTTGCCATAATAGCTGGATCCCAAAAAAAGGGGAGGGGGGAAGGTCCAATGGGTTAAAGACTAGGAATATTACATTTTTAGTGTAAAAGACATGTTGGAATTGTAGGGTACACTATTATTGTCCTGGTATATTAGAGGTCAGGAATTATACAAGAAGCTTGTGATTCATAGTATAGTAGTCTAGTGTCTAACATGCTTGTTGCCATCCAAGATATTAAAGACATAGGATTGAACTGTTTTGAATTACATCTGAAACATCACAAAAGCTAAGATGCCAGGAAATGTAAGATAACAATAAACCATACAACTTCTTTGTGCATATCAAGCAAAATACAGGTTTTGAACAATTTCGTTAGTGCAGTAGTTTGAGAATATAAATTATTACCGTTATAAGGAACTTGGAAGATAAAGTTGACTGGAAGACCAATACCTAGGCCAGCCAGAGTGAATCCAACACCGAATCCAATGCCACAACCAGCTCCAACATAGCCGATGGCTTCAGGGCCAAAACCAGGACCCCAACCAATACCACAACCTATGCCCACGCCAATCCCCCAAAAAGCTCCATAAGTTGGATGCACCCGGTTCCATCTTTTGTACCTTTCAACCAACCCTTTCATAATCCAACGGAATTTAGGACCTGTAAAAAGAGATAATCAAGAAATTGCATCATAGCTAAATAGAAAAATTTACCTCTAGAATTCAGGATCTTTAACTAAGGACTTGATAAGTCAATTAACACATAGATCAATCAGGGGAAGAGAGTTCACAGATTTTGATTCTATTCCACAGTTCCCCCGGTCCCACCCACTTATTTTCTTTCAGCCAACTTCATTAGTTTCCTAGGAAAGTATAACAATGTGTTCTACATGAAAGCACATCATAATAATAAATTGAAATAGATTCTCATGGTGGAGAAATAAAAGGCAAATAGGATCATCATCAACTATTATTTTAAATTTAACGATATCTTCTCTTCCTCGAGTTAATAAACGATAGTGTTCTGGGCATTAGCTTCCTTTTCTCAGAAGCATTTTAACAACTTTAATCAGCCCAGCTTCGTACTCCTTTGACGTTCAACAATTTCAGCTGGACAAATGAAACTACTCAAATACTGCTGAAGAATCTGAAATGACAAAAACCATTAAGAACTGTAACTATTTTTGTTGCTGTATTAGAGAGCTCGAAGATTGGAAGAACAAAAGGAAAGATATCTTGAGGTTTTGCACAGGCGATAATGACACAGTTAGAAGACAGAGCAACTTGATAACAGTGAAGAAGGCAGACAATGAGAACGAAGCTAAAGCCATAATCAAGACTATCGCGTTGCATTTACCATAAAATTCTGCTTTGAAACGAAATCACTACAACAGGCTCTTCATTCGCAAAGAGCAGAGAAAGCTTCGAAGTGCATTTCTTGGCGTTTGGATTTTGGCGTTCCAACAAAGAAATTACGCTTAAATTAAATATAATATGCGTGTGTACACACGACGCAAACACACCCACGCAACTTTTGAAGTATTTTTTTTTTGGGACAGAGAAAAGCATATTTAATTAACAAGATCGCAGATGCAATTTGTAGAGAGAATGAGTTGGATAATTCATTATTTATTTAATTTTAAATGTACAAATTAAATTATATATATTTCATTTCAAAATGACAATGTAGAGTAATATCAACTTGCCCTTGATGAAAACGTTGATAAGAATTTATTAATTAATAAAAAATAAAATATTGAGGGGGAAAAAGGAGAAAATGCAGTTTTTCCTTTAACCCAATAGAATAACACCATCAACAGAAATGGGATTTCAATTTTTGTTTTTAGCAAATTGTCATATATTCTGGTCCTCACGATTTTCGTGGCTCTAAGCCTCTATAATTCCCTGGTCATTCTTTAAAGTCGAAGCTTCAATCAGACATGTGTGGCCTTGCATCGGCATTTTCTGTACAAATGAAAATTGATTAATTCATTTCTTTAATATTATTGATTTTAAAAAAAATGGTTAATTTACATTTAGGTAACTTACTTTAAGCTTTCAAAAAATATTTTTGCAACTTTTTAGATTTTTTTTATGAAATCACGATTCAAAAGTGCTTTAAGAAGGTGGATGAAAGTATATTTAATGAATGAAATTTGGAGTAATTTTTGAAATGTGCATTTGAAATTGGGGTATTAATAAGAGAGTTAAAATATGTATATATTTTTTTATATTATCATGCTACCCCTGATTATTTTTTAATTAATTTTTAATATTAATGCATATTGACTATTTATAAAATTTTTATCCAGTATATCAATTTTTGAATTTTTATCCTTATTATTTAACATATTGAATTTTATATTGTTTAAAATTTTTATTACATATATTTTTTAAACATTTCTAATATGAAGTTTTTGTATGATATAAATTATAAATCATAAAAAGTAATGTTCATTTAGTAATTATATATTCAAAATTTTTCATCATACATAATTCAAACAACTTTCAATTTATTAAATTAATTTTAAAAAATGTATTCAAAGACAAATTTTATTGCAATAGTTAACTTTTATTAAATTAATTTTTGCTAAATGAACATTTAATGAATTAATTTTCTTTTTGTGATAACTGATAAATTAATGTTTGATCGACAGAAAACCAAACACATGCTATAATTAATTACTACATTTGTACCTATTTATAGAGATATTTGAGGTTGTACCCATATTGGTTGTCTATGTCTATCCCGGTCATGTAGGGACGAATTTATCGTGGGCCGTAAAAAAAAATTAGGACATCACTTTACGAAATGAAGTAAAAAAAGGCAACAAGACTAGGGATCATCCTCAGGATGCATCGTTCCATCCCTTATATAATGCATATATGTTTTTTCATTTAGGTTTAGTGTATGATTCGCTCGTCCAGCCTTCACTCTTCAATTTTCATCGCCGACTCAAACATTGTCTCTTCTCTCTCCAAATATATACGTGGTTCATGAAATCTATAATAGTGAAGATATATTCCTGCAAAGCTCAACGTTATGCAATGCTTATCTAGCTGCGTCTTTTTCCCTTTATTATTGGTTAATTGTCATAGCATTCTTCGCTAACAATTGATGATGTTGGCTGAAACCAAATTATCTACTATTCAAATAATAGATGATGGCGTAAATCAATTCTATAAAATCTCATCACTTCCTTAATGTACAAGGTTAGATTATTTGCCACCCACGATTGCATCTTCCTCACATGAGTTTATGCCTATTATTGGTTGTCTTATTTGTGGACTTGTAATTATAATTAATGTAACTTGATAATTGAACTTAAATTATTGTAATTTATTTACTCTTGTTATTTTAGTTTTACTTAAAAAGTTGTGTAATCTAACATTTTAATAAATGTTATTATCAAAGTTTCTCTCTCACATTTGCTTTATTAGGATGTCCTGATTACATTCCAAATCTTAACAAGATAATACAAAGATAAAAAAATCAAGCTCAATTATTTTTTTAGATTAAACACAAAATAGGAATGTCATAGTCTCATTTTGTCTCATGAACATTCCTACCTATTTATAAAAAATAATATGAGAAATTTATTAGCAAGTAATATGTAACAATGAAAGCTTATAAATTTTTGAAAGTTTTTTCATAAAGTTGATGAAAATATTAGTAAAAATTGAATGCAAATCACTTAATACTTAATAAATATATTATCTACTCATTTAAATAAAGCCTTATATATAATTTAAGGTTGTTAAAATCATTAACAACACTCAAATAAATGATCATGGTTGTTGAAAACGTGTGAAAATGAAAAATATTAAAAAAAGCTACTCTTTTTGTGCTTAGCATTGAATGCTTTTTAAAGGCCAATTCAAGCATGATTTGAAAGGGTTTCACACATAGAAAGACACTAAGACAAAAGGCTCTAGTTTGCTTCAACTAAATCAAGTGTGAGGCTATAACAAACTTTGATTCTTTGTGAGCCAAAACACCCTTACCTTTTTTTTAACCGTGAAAGCATGTTCTCACATTTTTGTAGTGCTCACATGTAATTTTTTATAAAAAATAATTATGTTCGAGGTATAGTTAAATATTAAATATAAGTACTTATCTTAATAAAAATTTAAATATTAATTTATCACATCATGAAAAATAACCTCTTCCACTAATTTCGTTGATAAAGCATTTCCTTGTGTTAGTAAAATAGAAATTTTAATTTAGTTGAATTTTATTTTTTTTGGTTAAAAGAAAACATGACTTTTAATTTTTATATTTTTTATAATTATTGATTTATTTTTTAAAATTTTAACCATATAATACTCAGTTTTTATAATTTTTTTTAGTCCAGCAATTATAGAAATTAAATTAAACTGTTATTTCCATTAAAAACTGTATCCCTAAAGTTAAATTTTGCCTTAAAAAATGGCAGTCTAATTTCTCGTCATACTCCAATTTCAGATACCGTTAACATTTACCAGATTATTAAAGAGAAACTTTTTGTGTAGTGTTAAAACAGCAGACGTCGACGTTTCAAGGCGGGGGATGCATCCTAGAGGGAATCCAGGACCCATATCATAACCTTATCCGTTTGGTAATCTGTGTGGAGCGCGAACTCCATCTCCATCCTTGCGTGCTGAGTAGCATTTCAACACAGCTTCTCCTCTCATGTCTTTTCTTCCCTTCGTCTTTGCCTGACAACGCCCCCAACACAAGCCTATGGCCGCATCTGCATCAGCATTTTCCAATCCATACTTACTTCACAAGGTTTCCGTTTCGGACGGTTTTTTTTTTTTTGAACTTTCATTTCCGGTTTTATTCCTAAATTCAGGAATTAGGTTTTGTTTCGATCGTTCAATCCTGTCTGTGATTCTCTCCAGGAAGTTATCAATCAATTTGAAATCACAGTGAAGCCTCAATTCCCGATTCAAATGCCAGAATCTTCCCGATTCTCACGCCTTGCACCGATATGCGCTACGTTGAGGAGTCCGAAAGGATTCGGACCTTCGCCGGAGAAGAGCAAGAAGAAGAACAAGCTGAAAAGAGAATCCGACGACGACGACGACGACGAAGAAGAAGATGAGGAGGAAGAGGAAGAGGAAGAATTGGCGAGAGAGCGAGGTGTGATACCTGAAGTAGTGACCAACAGGATGATAAGCAGGATGGGATTCTCAGTTGGGATTCCTCTGGCAATAGGGCTAATGTTCTTCCCATTCTTCTACTACCTCAAGGTTGGGCTGAAGATTGATGTGCCCACTTGGGTGCCCTTCATTGTGTCCTTCTTCTTCTTCGGGTCCGCACTGTTGGGAGTGAGCTATGGGATTGTGTCCTCCAGCTGGGACCCACTCAGGGAAGGCTCACTTTTGGGCTGGACTGAGGCCCAGAAGAATTGGCCTGTGTTTTGGCAATCCATTTGGGGTGGATCTAATGCCAAGGGAAAGTAAACTAGCCTTGTTCTTGTCTTTCCCTCATGTGCCTTTTTTGCTCATGTTTGATTAATGTAATCTACTTCCAGGAAGAAGCAGCATGTTTTAGTTTTACCATTACTTCAGTTTCGTTCCATGGCATTGGGGAGTTGGATACTAATAATACAGAGAAATATAGAAAAAAGATTTAATGGATGAAAAGAGAGACTGCTCAGACCCAATAACAGTTTCTCCTCTATACTCGGTTAAGTCAAATTATCTTCTATCCAGTTGCAAATAAGTAAATTCTAGGAGTTTGATGCTTTAAAGTGGAAGGCGTGTAAAATGTTATCTCCTCGTCTATTTATAAAAAAAGAAGTGATAGTTAAATAAAAGAAAATTTAATACAGCATGTAAACGAATGATCTTTTTTGAACAAGATTGAGGATTGGAACCTTGTGGATAGTGGGGAAAATATTATAATAAATAATCTTAATTAGACCCGAAAATATTTAAATCCAACAATCTAATTAAAATAACAAATAATTGTATTAAAAGCAAGGGGAAAAAAAAGTGTGGCATAAGGCTGGACTTGTTTTGTATCTCGGGCCTGGGCCTTTTGTACTTCGATTTCCTTTTGCCACCGAAAAAAAGGGAGAAGAAGTACAATCTTTACACCTAAACCTTGATTAGATGGATGATGTTGGGCATACATGAATGGTGTTCAATGTCGCTTTCCGCCACCTGTAAAAGTGGATATGACCCAAATAAATCATGAGCATCTCCGAACATCGCTTTGCAGATCAACCAATTTGCTTTAACCTTCCAATTGCACCCAACTCAATTTCTTTTATTTAAAGGGCTTTGGTACATTGACGGTTTAAATTTCGTCCCTACAAAGAGAATCCCCAATAGAAGAAAGAAGGTTTATAGTTATATATATATATATATATATATAATTATGTTGAAAATGTATCAATTTTTACTTATATATACTTGATAAAACATTATCTTATATTCCAATCTATATTTTTAAATTTGTGACCTCATTACCCTCTATTAATTCAATGTGTGTATTTGTTCTCGGTACATATTCCCTATAATTTAATTTATGTTTTAAACTTTCAATTTTTTAATTTAGTGGTTGTGTTAAACTTTTATAATTTTTTGTCAGCTTTTGTTGATGTAATTGATTATTTATTTTTTTAAATTTCAAAGCACCGGATGGATTTGGGCACTCACGGCGCATCACCGCCATGGTGAGATTTAGATTGTTCAAATCCAATTTAAATGATATGAATTTAAAATTTATAATTTTTAAATAATATATTCTTTTTTCATAAATTTGCAGTTGATGATTGTTTTATTTTAAATTATATGTCTATTTAAATAAAAATTATTTAAAATATTATAAATAAAATCAAATTAAACTTAAACCGTCTAACCTTAATGTGTCTGGTCCAAATTTTTGTGCTCATCACTTGGATAATAATTCCAAACTCAATCCGTAATCATTTACTAAAACACCAAAGTAAGGCTTTACTTATCTTAAAAATTAAATATTTTTAAATTTCAAATTTTTAATTACAAATTTCAGAGAAATAATATTAATCTAAAATTAAAAATGTTTTTAAAAAATTAGCGAAAATGATATATATATATATATATATATATTTTGCTAACAAAAGTATTTATAGTGCACGGTAGGGCTGCACAAAAGACAGGACGTCACTGGACTTCACCCTAACCCGAAGTCCGGTCTCTTTCATGAAAAAGATTGGGTTAGGCAACCCGTAGTCCAGTCTTGTCCAGTGATAACCCGAAGATTAACAGGATCGGACTTGGTCCATAGGACTGAGAGACTGGTCCTGTCAGTCCAGTACTCACTTAGCTTTTTTTCCTTCTTTTTATTCTATGAGAGGCAATAATCCATTCCAACATAATAAACTCAATTAAGATAGTAAAAACACTTATAATAATAATAAATCTATAATAATTTCTAACAATAAGAAAAAAAATATTTCTGTTATAGTCTAAATTATTTAAATTTATAACTTTAACAAAAACAATACTCAACAAAATTTAACAACACTATATTACAATAATAATTTAGAAACAAACTTAATAAATCTTTATACAATCATCTCCTTAGCATCAATTACACTTTAAACATTTGTCAAAAATAAATTAATTATAATTATAATAAAAAAAATTAATAGGACTGGATTGGACCAAATGGTCCGGATGCCTGGCCTCTTGTCCAATCTAACCCGAAAAAATAGTCTGGTTTTTTTAATCTTTTTGGTTCTGAAAGACTAGTGACTGTACAAATCGAACAAGACTGAAACCATCTCGAGTTGGACTGGATCAGACAAGACTAAAAGACTTTTACACAGTCCCAGTGCACGGTTTACTCAAGGGGTTAAAAAAGGTGCATGCATATTGCATGTTTTCTTCTTTGTTGAAAGCTGTTCAGGTACATGCTCTTCTTCTTTTCTTTTTTCTTTTTTTTTTTACTTTTTATTTATGTATTTTTCCCTTTACTCTTTATTGAGATTCCTATCCTGATCACGAAGAATCAAAACAAACTGAATATTCGTGTTATCCACATTTCATTTAATTTCCATTTCCCCGTCAATTCTCCTTCCTAACCCCGAGCCAAGGCCACGGCTTTATTTTGTCTCCCCTTCGCCTTTCTTTTCTTGTAACTCGTCATCATCAAAATTTAAGTTGCCAAAATCGAGTACTTTAATTCTTCTAGATTAAAACTTTTTAAAGATAAGACATGAATTATGCGTTACACCGATGCTAAAATATAATACTGATTCTCATAATCGTGGTCAGCTCGAGTCAGTATCTTTAATTTTTTTAATTAAAAATCAATTCCTCTAAAATACGGTTGTGGTCAACTTTAATTAAAGTCTATATTATTATTAAATATTATTGTCATATCAATAACATATCATCTCCAAGAACGTTTGCCAAAGTTCATCATAATTCTAAAGATTGATTACTCAATAAAAAATTTATAGAGGATTGAATACGTTAATCCCCTATAAATAGTGTAACTTGTATTTGGAAAAATGTTAGATTTTGAACCGTGCGTTCGAATAACTTGTTTATACTTTATAGTGATGTGTTATCCATGTTTAAAATAAATATAATTTATCATAAAATATCACCAATGTGCAATCCATGTCATTTCAATGCTCAACAAACTGCCAAATTATACATGTCAGTACACGAAGTGCAATTAAAAAAAAAACACACACACACACATGCCAATGATAAATAAAAATTAAAAAAGCATCAATATAATTTTAGTAAAAGTTTATCGATTATATAGATTATACTAACAAATTACAGTTACAAAGCATATAAGTTATAATTACTTGTATGAGCTGTGAGATAGGAATGAAATTAGAGAGTGCCCATTTGGTCTGAGGGAATGTGACTACATGGAAAGAAATGGAAGTCTATTCCAATAGTTGGTTGGACCAGGCTTCTCTTCTGGTTGAGAACTATTCCGGTCCCACACCCATGTCCTGTTTTGCTCATCATTTTATTCCCGTGGCCATCGAAATTCAAGCTTTGATCTCCTAGTTCTATGGAAATGGTAATAGAATTAGACACCCTTAAATCGCCAATTAACTTTTTTGCCAATGCTATTTTTATTTTTGGATGCAAGGTCACAATAGAAAATCACTCGAAGCACACATTCCACGTGGCACACTGTGATGGGCCCTCCCCCCATCCCCCTGCACGATAAAACCATGACGTGTTTTCTGATCTCGATAATCACCAGTGGTGCCATTTCTTTGGTGCCCAAAAATAGCATTAATATATACTCCCTTCTTTATTTTTAATTAAATTTTATTTTTTAATAAATTAATTAATTATTTTTAAATTAATACCATCTTTTTATATTTAATCTTCTTTAATAAAGTATTTCTTTTTAAAATAAATATAAAATGACTTATTTATTACAAGCTCTTTTGATAAAAGCACATTTATTATAGGGAGAACTTTAAATAAGAATAAAGAATGTGACATGATTACTAATAGGTTCCAAAAAAAATTTAAAATTCTTGTTTAATTCACGAAATAAAAGTAAAAATAATTTTAACTGTAAAAAGATTAAAGTGCCCTTCACTTGTTTGTTATGCAAAATAACTAGTTACGTTATTAATTTTTTTACTTCACTTATTAATTTATCAATATCACTTATAAATTACATCCATTTGTCAAACAAGCATTAACATTAGTTGTTAATTTGCTAAATTTATTTATTAATTTATCAACATAAGTTGTAAATTACAAGATCTGTCAGTAATTCATAACTAATGTTAGTAAATTAACAAATAAGGTTAGCAATTTAACAATTGATGTTGCTGCTTATAATTGAATAACTGATGTCAAGCTTAATATAATTATTAATATGTTAACTCATGTAATTTACAACTTATATTAGTAAATTAACAAGTAAAATAAGAAATTAACAACTAGTGATTCTGCATAATAAGTAAAAAGTATTTTAGTCTCTTTATATTTAAAATTATTTTTACTTTTATTCCTCCAGATTTAATTGAAATTTTAAAACTTTTTGGGACTTACTAACAATTACATTACATCCCTAATCATTATTTGAAATTCTTTCTTAATTATGTCTTAAAATATTAAAAAATACGTTAATACTTTTAAATATCTAGCCTTTCAAAAAATATTTTATATTTTTAAATAAAAGGAGTATATTGCTTGCGAGAAATCACTCTTTTTTGAATAAAAATCAGGAATATGTTACGAATAAAGCGTTGTTAACGCAATTAAAATGAAATACTATTTTACTGCTTTTCTATTCAATGAAATATTTCGTAATCTACTTACCGAGAAAAAAAAATTCACTAGATAGATTAAAAAGTATTTTAACAATTTTAATGCTATTGGCACTATTATCCAAATAAATATAAATGCCAATTCCCTTTCTATGAAATAGTACCAATCTCCACAAACTTGAGGTGAAATTTAAATATGAGACGGTGTGTGATAAAGATGGTTTAGGTGATAATGATAGGGTGTTCCCTTGAGGGTAAGCAAATCCTTCCAACTTTGCCTTTGCTTTGGGTTACCCTGTTGGAGGGACC